TAAATAATTACTTGGTCAGATTAGTGTTTTCATATAATATTCGGTTTTTTTTTTTTGTCAAAAACAATTTTGTTCTCTTGTTTGCCTTCTACTTGAAAAAAAAAAAATTATGTCTTTTATGCTACAAGACACTGAGCTTGCTATGTTCTTGCTATTGCTGACAGTGTGACCACTATAATTCAGCCTTTGTCTCAGTTTCCTTCGCATTAGCAATCAATAAGGGGATAACTCGCATTTGATTAGCTAATATTCTTTGAAGGTAGTGACGATTGCTTTTCCTACTTTTTAATTTTTTATCTATTCATTTAAAATTATTCCTTATGAGTTTCATTAGTTCATCAATATATATATTCTACTTGTTGCATGATAGGTAAATCAACTTTGGTATATCATCTTGTTGAATTGTCAACTCTTACAAATAATCGTGTTGTAATATGTTTTTATTTTGATTAATGCAAATAATTTATTTATGTTCATGTGGAACTTTTGGAGATTTGAATTATAACCTGTTACTTTCTTGCTGTACACAATGGACCCATCTTGCATAATGATATTTTACTAAAAATTTACAATCATTCTTAGGAACCTTAGCTACATTTTGTTGAGGAATTTGTTTTAATGGAGTAGTAATGATTTTTTTTGTACATGTTACTTTTTTATTCTTTCAAATACCTTGACTAAATTGTTATCATGTTTACCAATAATATATTTCTTGTCCATATATTTTATTTAGGTTACTTGATATAATATCATGGATAGAAGTTGGTAACTCAGTCAAGGTACTTCAGATTGTAGTTTGATTAGGTTACTTAATCTAATAACAACAATTTAAGAAATTTGATTTTTTTTATGCATTACTATGCAAATAGGTTAAGTTCAGCATACTTGCGTGGAGTTGAAGAGTTTCTAGATATCTCATTTGAGTGAGTTGGGAAGGATGGGCGTATATATTGTCCTTGTATTGATTATGGCAATTGTATAAAAAAATCATGTTCTGAGGTGAGAGATGATTTGGTATGCAATAAGTTTATTCAATCATACACAACTTGGTTTTATCACGGGGAAGAAGTGCCATCATCTTCTCGGCAAACTGATGTACACACAACACACGAGGATATCAATGCAAACAAAAATGATGATATGCATGGACTCTTACACGAGGGTTTTGGTGTTCCAACTGAAGGGAGGGAAGAGACCAACGGAGAAAATGATCAGCACCAAAGGGTGTCAAATGAAGAGTTCGATAAATTTTATAGGCTATTGGAAGATGCAAACCAAGAGTTACATCCTGGGTGTAAAAAGTTTTCAAAGTTATCCTATGTAGTGATGCTATATTTAGTGAAGACTAAATATAATTAGAGTGACAAATCATTCACTGATCTGTTAAAAGTGATAAAAGATGGATTACCAGATGGCGAGACATTACCAAAAACCTTCAATGAAACAAAGAAGATGATTGGTGACCTGGGTCTTAAATATGATAAGATTCATGCATGTCCCTCTGATTGTATGTTGTATTGGAAGGAGCACTCTAATGATGAAATGTGTCATAATTGTGGCAAGTCAAGGTGGAAAGTTTTTGATTCAGAAACTGAGGGCAATGGAAGTACATCATCCTCATCAACAAATAAAAAAATTCCTGCTAAAGTTATATGATATTTTCCTTTGAAGCCAAGACTCCAAAGATTGTTCATGTCAAGTAAGACAACTTCTTCTATGAAATGGCATGCTGAAGAGCGAATCAAGGATGGATTGATAAGACATCCCGCTGACTCCTCATCATGGGATAGCTTTGATAAAAGATACCCAACATTTTCTAGTGATCATCGGAATGTTAGGCTTGCATTAGCAACTGATGGGTTCAACCCATTCAAGACCATGAGTGTTGCACACAGTACATGGCCTGTTTTGATACTTGTGTATAACTTACCCTCATGGATGTGCATGAAACAGCCTTATTTTATTCTATCAACCTTGATACCTAGCCCTAAAGGACCTGGAAATGATATTGATGTCTACTTGCAGCCTTTGATAGAGGAATTAAAAGAGTTATGGATTGATGGGGTGGAAACTTATGATGCTTCAGGAAATGAGATGTTCCGTATGCATGCAGCATTGTTTTGGACTCTTTCTGACTTTCCTGGTTATGCAATGGTATCCGGTTGGAGTACAAAAGGGTATTTGGCTTGTCCTACTTGTAACAAAGACACTTACTCTCATTTCTTAGATCATAGCAAGAAAATATGTTATGATGGGCATCGTTTTTTTCTTGAAAAAGATCATAAATATAGGCATTGTAAATCATTTGACGGCACTGAAGAGGTAAGGTGTGCACCGCCTATGTTATCTGGACCACAATTGTTACATGAATTAGAGAGCCTTAAATTTCCACCATTTGGAAAGAGTGTGCATACAATGAATGAAGATCGGAAGCGTGAAGATCGGACACGTCTGCCGCACAATTGGAGAAAGAAGAGTATATTCTTTCAATTACCATATTGGAAGTATAATCTTCTGCGTTATAATCTAGATGTGATACATATTGAAAAAAATATATGTGATAATATACTTCACACATTGATGAATGATCAGAAAGGGAAGGATACATTAAAAGCAAGACTTGACCTACAGGATATGGGAGTAAGGCCTTCACTTCACCCAAAAAAGCGTGGTTCAAACAAATTTTATTTGCCTCCTGCAAATTTTACGCTATCTTCACTTGAAAAGAGCACATTATGTTGAGTGTTGAAAAATGTTAAAGTTCTAGATAGGTATGCATCTAACATTGCACGTTGTGTGAAATTAAAAGAGCGTACAATTAGTGGGTTGAAGAGTCATGATTGTCATATATTGATGCAACAACTTCTAGCCATAGCCATTCGTAGGATATTGCCTAAGAATGTTTGCTCAGTACTTGTCGAGCTCAGTAACTTTTATCGAGAGCTGTGTTCAAAGACTCTTCGGCCTGAAGACTTGGATAAATTGGAACACCGGATTGTTTTAATACTATGTCAGTTGGAAATGATATTCCCACCTGCCTTCTTTACCATAATGGTACATTTATCTGTTCACTTAGCTCACGAGGCAAGGATTGCAGGACCAGTGCAATACCGTTGGATGTATCTAATTGAGAGGTTAAGATATTTAATGAATTTTCGTTTATAGTTTGTTTATTTTTTAATAATTCTAATATTATTAAATTTCATTCTTTATATTTAGGTACCTTATGACTTTGAAAAATTACGTGCGAAATAGAAGTCATCCCGAGGGTTCAATAGCAGAAGGTTATTTAGCGGAAGAATGCTAAACTTTTTGTTCATGTTATCTGACAAATATTGAGACAAGATTCGATAGGCCCCAAAGGAATTCCGATAATGTGCTTGATGGAGAGGAAGTGAATGATTTTGGTGCACAAGGCCATGCCTTGGGAAAACAAGAGTTCATTAATCTAGATGAGATGACTTTGGTGTAAGCTCATCGGTATGTTTTGTTCAATTATCATGGAGCAGAACCATTCATTGAGTAAGATTAAGTTCCCCAATATATTACATGATTATATTCATGTCAAACTTCATTTAGTTTAATAGGAAATATGTTTAACATTATATTTTCACAATGCAGAAAACATAAGAGATTTCTTAAAATGAGGCAGCGCTATTTAAAACCAAGACAATTAAAGAAGATTTCTCATGATTTATTTCACAAATGGTTTAATGAACGTGTAAGTATTTGACTTTTGTGTTGTTGGTGTATTATAGGTTTATAAAAAATTACCTTATTATATAAGTTATATCTTTATGAATACAGTTGCGAGATAGTGAGGATCCAATTCCTAATGAGCTGAGGTGGCTAGCACAAGGTCCAAACCCTGTCGCGAAATGGTTTAAGAAGTTTGTGATCAATGGTTTGAAGTTTCATGTTAGAGATGTTGAGAGATAGAGAAAGACTCAGAACAGTGGAGTTGTCATAAAGGTAGTGACATCTAGTTGTGCAAGAGCCACCGATCAAAATCCCGTCACAGGAGATAGTCAGTAATATTGTGTGCTGACTGATATCATTGAGTTAAATTACAATGTAAATAGGAAGGTGGTATTGTTTAAGTGTGATTGGTTTGATGTCTTGTCCAAGGGTAGAGGAATAAAGGAGGATGATTTTCGATTTAAGCTTGTTAATTCGTCATGATTGTTGGGAGCAGATGAGCCTTTCATTCTAGCATCTCAAGCTGAACAAGTATTCTATGTTGATGATCCCATTGACAATGAGTGGAAAGTGGTTATTGGCGTAAAACCGCGAGACCTTTATGATATGCCAGAGCATGATATTGAATTTTATCAAGTTCAGGAGCCATTTCATGCAGAACATATGGATAACAACTTGGATGTACCTGATGATAGCACGTTTTGGACAAGAGCTGATTTGCTTGGAACAACTATAGAAGAAGATGATGATGTTGATGATGACCTTAATAAAGATAAGATTTAGGATGATTCCATATCTACTACTCAATGGATGTGAAACGTCTTTTTTGGATGTCAAATGTCTTTTTTGGATATTATAAGCTCTGATTCACTATATATATATATATATATATATATATATATATATATATATATATATATATATGCAACTTTGATAATAATATTGCAGTATCATATTTCGTAGCATGCACATGTACGCTTCCCGTGAAAACTGATTTAGTTTTTTTGTGTGCTTATATATTTTTAATATGTTTTAATCTATTCTTGGCACATTATTGTATAAGTGTAATCAATGATTTTACCAAAATAGAATGGTTTTATATAATTTCCATTGGACAACCAAAAATACCCTAAAGTTTTGAGGTATTTTTTATTTCTTTTTATTGATTTTTCCTGGATTGTGCACTGCCTTTTTTTAAACAATTTGATTGCATTCTCTTAAATGAATTCTCACTTTTTTGTTTTCTTTTACAGGAAGGATAAATAATAAGCTGACAATGAAACGAACAGTTAGTGAGTGGAAAAAGTGAGTGAATAAAATACCGAAGCTTCAACTTCAAAATCATCCCAACCACCGCCGAAGAAGAGACGGGGCCCGACACGATGCAAGAATGTCGTAACCGCGACAACCTTATTACCATTAAGGTACATAGATATAGAGATCATCTTATATAGTTTACATAATTAGACTATATTCAATATGAAGGAGAAAAAAGGATTTCTATCTTTATTTTTGTACTAAACATCTACAATTGTTAATTTTTGTTTAGGGTTAATAAGTTTGGACAACCGATCGACCCTGGAAGTGGTACATATACTAATTATTTGGGAACACTTGCCCGGAATGCTAATTTAGCTCCTTTGTGCTACAAAACTTGGTGGGAGATGCCTAAACGGCTGAAGGAGGATATGTGGAACGTTGTAAAGGTAAAACCCTTCAATGATATTAAAATAATTTTTATGGAAAAAGTGGATTAACATGTAGCAATTATCACATTTTCAGGGAAAGTATGATGTGGGAATCATGTCAAAACATTGGACAATATCTTCCATCAGAAAAAAATGGAGGGGGTACAAGTGTGAATTAAAAAGTGAATATTACTCAGTTAGGGATACAGATGCAAAAAGATTGGCAAACCCACCACCTGATGTTGAAAAGGAGTATTGGGAATTTTTGGTTAGGCATTGGGGTATGCCTATGGCGAAGGTAATCCTCCATCTACCAATTTTGTTTAAAGTCAATGAGTTAAATTTATAGTTTATCTGCTTTCAGTCATTATTTTAGATGGAATGTTAGAACGTTTACTTTTTCTCACTTTTTATAGGAGGTCAGTAAAAAAAACAAAGAATGTCGTGGGAAGTAGACAATGATGCATACTACAGGAACAAAAAGCTTTGCACGTGTTTTTGCCGAGGTTAGTTGAAGTTTTAGCAATATAAATTATTTCAGTTCTTATGTCGTTGAATGATTATAAATGTTAGTGGTAAATAATAATATATATCACAATGTCTATGTTTCTTTTATAGATTGAGGAAGACGAAGGTATTCAGCTTTCTCGTGCAGATTTATTCATTCGCACACATATAAATAAGGATGGCAAAGCTATTGATGCTGCTGCTTCGGAGATGATTGTAAGTTTTCATGCTTCCATTTTGCAAAAAGGGGGTCACGTGCCTTGAAGTGACCAATTTTTAAACTCTTTGCGGTGTATTAAGGGTCATATGCCTTGAAGTGACCAATTTTTAAATCATCGGCCCGTGTGGAGGCATTTTAATTTCATTCTTTATCATCGGCCCATGTGGAGGCAATTTACTTTCTTGTATTTATTAAAAGCATGGGAGTATGGGATCATTGTATGTGGAGGCTTCTTGTTGATTGATTTGTGTTGTGGAGGAGAAGTATTTGCTATTTGTTGTTTATTGTTTGTGTTAATTTCTTACTCATACCAGTGCAGTGGTCTTAAAAGTATGATATACACATGTATAGTTTTTGGTCATCCTTGCATTTTCAATCATGTTAAAAGTATGATATACACATATATAGTTGTATTTCAGAAGTAGCTACTACAGCTTTGAGTAATTCCATTATTTGGATCCTTGAGGAATGGGTAATGATGGACGATGGGCTGATTCTATAGATCTTTACTCTTGGTGCAGTCTTTATGAGGATATTTGAATTTTAAACAATTCTATCAGGGGATAGAAACCCTTTACTGGGTATTTGAATGAGATTCATAATAGTATGTCTTTTTTATTGTAGTTATTATTTTTTTGTCGCAGCTCTTACCTCTAGGCGGACTATGTTTGCTTTGAAATCTTGTTAGATTTGAAGATCATATTTTAGTTGGGACTTGAATGGTCAGATATTGTTTCTAATCAATAATTGACTGAAATCAGGCATGCAGAATTTTCAGTATCTCACATAAATTATCAATTCATAGAATCACATATTTGTTATTCCTATCTGGATTAGGTTTTGTGGTGCTCAAAGTTGAATTGCAATTGTGCTTCTATGTAGAAGGCTTTTAGAACCTATTATTTTTTTTTTTTTTTTAAATAAAAAATCAGGTTTTGTAGAAATGTTAGCGTTTTTTTCTCCATAACCAAATAAAATAAACTACAATTGAAACAAGTTCAACATATAAGATGAAGAATTTTGTAGTTCCCCTGCAAGAAAGATCCCTGACAAAAAAATTAGAGCCGAAAGAGAAATCTCAAGAAAAAGGGTGGGGACATGTATGTAGATCTTAAGAGAAGACAATCACCAGAAATGTCACGCACACACAAGCTTTCCTAACCCAGAAAGTCACTGAAATTTTTACATACCATGTACTATGAATTATATTGGGAACAAATCTTCTTGGAAAATTACAATGGAGCAAGCATCAACAACATGCCTAAAAAGGAAGTCCAAGAGCCTTGTTTCCTGAATTCATTTCCAGACCCAAAGATGACCATCTGAGCAAACAAAAAGAAAGAAAGAACTATAACAGCGAGACAAGATACCTGACCTCTTTATCAGCATGATCTGAGATCTGGCTGATGTAATGTGCAATGCTTTTAGGAGAAAAGGAATTTCCTGTGTCTAAGAACATAACACCACCCATATGATTCTTTGCAACATTTGAGGCTGCCTGTCGGCAAACCTGGACAGTTACAAGATTTTAGATCAATAGCATAACTTTGGTAAATCTGGTGATCAAATTGTGGGCCAAGAATAGTATAATAATTTAGTGATTTAGAGGCCATAAAACAGTTAGAAACATAATTCAGAAGCATCTGAAATTTCAACTAACTTGTATCGTTTTAATGATTGTAATTATAAGTGAATGGAGTTCTTACTTGTGTTTTCCTAGATGATGATGGCCCAACTATTTCTATTACATGTCCCTCACATAATCCACCTTAAAGTAACATGTCAATCCTGGTTCATAAAATGATAATTAATTACTTAGGTGTCTTAATAGCATCATAATCTTAGTGTGGTAAAAAAAACAAATAGTCAATATTCAGGCTCAAGATACTTTTCACATCCAGTGGATAGAACATGCTTATTTTGTTGAGCATCTTCCAACAGCTCCATACCATTCAGCCAAGGTTGATGCTGACCATCTATGATAGAGAGGACTTGGGTAATCCCCTACTTGCTCAAAATAATAAAATAAAAAATAATAAAATCATATATAGTACTACCATAAAATACTGATGTATAAGAAAAATAATACTTTGAATAGCGAACCTGCTTTAATCTTTCTGAATTAGACTGTTGTTCTGCTAAAGCAACTAAGACACAGATGTCATGAATAAGGAAATCTTCAACTACACAATAATACACAAGGATAAATTAAAAATAACAGAAATTTAGTTAGGCATGCAAGTATTTGTAAGTAAAATGGACCTCAGACACACACACACACAAATAAATAAATGTGCCTCAAACTTCAGGTTGAAGCTAAGTACTACTATTTAGGTTCTGAAATGTCAGTATATTGCGCACAATTTTTAGCATTCCTTTAATTTCTAGCATTTTGTCTGTAAATGAAGTGGGTGTGAATATTTTGAAGCTTTAGATTGTATGAAAGTTCAAAGGTATGTACAACTATATTTTCACATTGTGTGATGCACTGCTGTTTCAGAACACTTTGGCTTTCATCATTACCAATTTGTTATCTAATTACTTTTCTGTTCAGCTGTTTTTGGATTCCTGTTCTATCATTCATTTCATTAGATTTGTCGGGTTGTTTCATAGTAGTATGTCATGGTAGTTCAAACATTTATTTTTTTTTTTGCAGGAAAACATAAAAGAACTTCAAAAAGTTTACTCTGACTTGCCTATTGGCAGTTCCAATGATTTGTTCTCCATTGTGAGGGGAGAAGAGAGAACTGGTCATGTGCGGATGCTTGGCTTCGGGCCTACACCAAGCGATGTTTGGGGCCCTCTCCTAGTAAAGATGAACTGATTAATAATGCGAAAAAAATCTAATGAGGAGGCACGTGCTGCACGCGTAGAGTTGCAGGAGAGCATTTAAAAAATGCAAGCCGAGTATGACAACAAGTTGGAAAATTTACGAGCCAACTATGATAACAAGTTGGAAAATTTACAACAACAGGTGGCTATGCTAATGTAGATGCAACAACAAAATTGTAGTGGACAGGTATATTTATTATTAGTTTTACTCTTTACTAAATATATGTTTACTTATGCCAAGATTTCATGTATTTTGTTTTCTTATTTTGAAGGGTTCTGATTCTTTAAATGCTCCTCCTAAAGTATCCCCAAATTCATTTTCTAGTCGTGATGCCAATTCAGTTAAGGTTATGAATTTTTAATTTCTCTTATATATATGTTAAATTTTCATTTATTATAATGTGTGCGTAATGAATTTATAAAAAAAATGTAGGGTAATTCAAATCAAATGGGCAAGAAGACTTGTTGAAGTTTAAGATGAGGTCATGGCTGTTCTTTCTGAATTGCCTTCGCCTTGGATAGGTTCTTTTTGAAAAACTTGTACTACATTTGTCAAAAATTCTTAATTCTTTTTGTCTGACATTTAGTAGCTTTATTTAGACAATTTGGATCGTATATTGACAGGTTAACTTGTGGTTGTATTAGTATACAGTTTTGCTTTTTGGTTGACATTTATCAACTTAACTTGTGGTTGTATTAGTAGCTAATTTTGATGGTAATTTTCATATTGGCAAGGTTAACTTTGTGGTTGTATTATGTAAAAACAATTTAGATGGTATTTTTATATTAACTTGTGTTATATTGGATGACATTTAGTAGTTGGTAGTTGCAATAGTTGTATTGATATTTTTTTCCAAAAACTATAAAAAATATATATATATATATATAAATAAAATAAAAAACCCCTTTACCATCGCTCTTTTAAGAAGCGCTGGCATAGGGAGAGAGGAAAAAAAAAATTAAAATTACCCTTTACCAGTGCTTCGCTAAAAAGCGCTGGTAAATACACTCTACCAGCGCTATTGCAAAAAGCGCTACTGGCGCTTTTTGCAGAAAGCGATGGTAAAGTCTTTTTACCAGTGCTTTTCCAGAAAGCGCCGGCGCTTTTTGCAGAAAGCGCTGGTAAAGTCCTTTTACCAGCGCTTTTCCAGAAAGCGCTGGTAAATACACTCTACCAGTGCTTTATGCAAAAGCGCTGGTAAAGTCCTTTTACCAGTGCTTTTCCGAAAAGCGCTGCTAAATACTCTATGCCAGCGCTTTCTGGAAAAGTGCTGGTAAAAGGAATTTACTAGCGCTTTCGGAAAAGCGCTGGTAAAGGCCTACAAACACTGGATTTACCAGCGCTTTTTAAGACTTTTACCGGCGCTTTTGAGCATTGGTAAAAGCCAGAACTGTTGTAATGTTACCTGCATTATAAGCATTTACAAACTATCCTTGTTGGGGCTATATTAGTTTTTGCCAGCATAGGGACAAATATGATAAAAACATAATTATAACAAATGAAATGAGCTAGTTTCGACATTAACCATGACGCGCTGGTAAGCATATGTAATGTGTCATTCACGGAAGACGTGATACATTTTGTGTCTTATACTTGTGTGTTCCCAAGAGACTCTTCAAATTATCGAAGTTGCAGTAGAAAATCCTATCTTAGTGAGACCAAATAACTCACAGATCATTAATCTATATAAAATTTGCATGATATAATATTTCCTTTTCAGTTCGTTTCTTGTGCTTCATCTTGTAATTTCAAGTGAATGGAAACTAATCACTTAAGCCAGATTATAGTAGAGCAGTTTTTAAAAATTAAACTCCTACTGCATGTCAATTAAGTGCACAAGTAACTCTATTACAGGTGCTACTGATATTACAATAGTACTACCTATAAATCCAAGAAAGATTTATTGTGCTATATTTTTTCACTAAAAGTACCCATCAACTACAAGGGTACACAAAACCAATCTCCAAAGAAGTATAATGAAAGAATTATGCTTTTAAAAATACATTGAAACGATAAGTTAATAAATCTTCCAGTACTGTAAGGTATAATAAGCATATAAGTTCTTATCTGGTAAAAGGCCTGGACATTTAATTGGTCGTGATGCAAATAGCTAGAGACTCCGATGACATGGAACTTGTCCATTTTGTTAGATTTTCTACTGAT